CATTCACAATCACACGAGACATTCACAACCACACGAGACATTCGGAATCACACGAGACATTCACAATCACACGAGACATTCACAATCACACGAGACATTCACAATCACACGAGACATTCACAATCACACGAGACATTCACAATCACACGAGACATTCACAATCACACGAGACATTCACAATCACACGAGACATTCACAATCACACGAGAAATTCACAATCACACGAGACATTCACAATCACACGAGACATTCACAATCACACGAGACATTCACAACCACACGAGACATTCACAATCACACGAGACATTCACAATCACACGAGACATTCACAACCACACGAGACATTCACAATCACACGAGACATTCACAATCACACGAGACATTCACAATCACACGAGACATTCACAATCACACGAGACATTCACAACCACACGAGACATTCACAATCACACGAGACATTCACAATCACACGAGACATTCACAATCACACGAGACATTCACAATCACACGAGACATTCACAATCACACGAGACATTCACAATCACACGAGACATTCACAACCACACGAGACATTCACAATCACACGAGACATTCACAATCACACGAGACATTCACAATCACACGAGACATTCACAATCACACGAGACATTCACAATCACACGAGACATTCACAATCACACGAGAAATTCACAATCACACGAGACATTCACAATCACACGAGACATTCACAATCACACGAGACATTCACAACCACACGAGACATTCACAATCACACGAGACATTCACAATCACACGAGACATTCACAACCACACGAGACATTCACAATCACACGAGACATTTACAATCACACGAGACATTCACAATCACACGAGACATTCACAATCACACGAGACATTCACAACCACACGAGACATTCACAATCACACGAGACATTCACAATCACACGAGACATTCACAATCACACGAGACATTCACAATCACACGAGACATTCACAATCACACGAGACATTCACAACCACACGAGACATTCACAATCACACGAGACATTCACAATCACACGAGACATTCACAATCACACGAGACATTCACAATCACACGAGACATTCACAATCACACGAGACATTCACAACCACACGAGACATTCACAACCACACGAGACATTCACAATCACACGAGACATTCACGAGATTATTGCATGAAAACTTATATCACAATTTCTTCATTAAAAATGTCACATTAGAACATTCAGAGAACAAAACCAGTTCTAAACTTCCTCTAAGATACACCAACTTTGAAGGTTAATTAGACGCAACCGTTAATTATCAGAGACCAATATCACAAAATAAAAAATTACGTTCTCAAGTTTCTTGCGCTGAAGGTTTGAACCCGATACGATGAGGCATGAATAAACTGCCGCATGAAAAACCAGCATTTCAATTTTCCCAGTTTCTTCACTAAAACTGTGGGAGTGGCACCTACACTGGGAGTGGCACCTACACTGGGAGTGGCACCTACACTGGGAGTGTCACCTACACTGGGAGTGGCACCTACACTGGGAGTGGCACCTACACTGGGAGTGGCACCTACACTGGGAGTGGCACCTACACTGGAGTGGCACTACACTGGAAGTGGCACCTACACTGGGAGTGGCACCTACACTGGGAGTGGCACCTACACTGGGAGTGGCACCTACACTGGGAGTGGCACCTACACTGGGAGTGTCACCTACACTGGGAGTGGCACCTACACTGGGAGTGGCACCTACACTGGGAGTGGCACCTACACTGGGAGTGGCACCTACACTGGGAGTGGCACCTACACTGGGAGTGGCACCTACACTGGGAGTGGCACCTACACTGGGAGTGGCACCTACACTGGAAGTGGCACCTACACTGGAGTGGCACCTACACTGGGAGTGTCACCTACACTGGGAGTGGCACCTACACTGGGAGTGTCACCTACACTGGGAGTGGCACCTACACTGGGAGTGGCACCTACACTGGGAGTGGCACCTACACTGGGAGTGGCACCTACACTGGGAGTGGCACCTACACTGGGAGTGGCACCTACACTGGAAGTGGCACCTACACTGGAAGTGGCACCTACACTGGGAGTGGCACCTACACTGGGAGTGGCACCTACACTGGGAGTGGCACCTACACTGGGAGTGGCACCTACACTGGGAGTGGCACCTACACTGGGAGTGGCACCTACACTGGGAGTGGCACCTACACTGGGAGTGGCACCTACACTGGGAGTGGCACCTACACTGGGAGTGGTCACCTACACTGGGAGTGGCACCTACACTGGGAGTGGTCACCTACACTGGGAGTGGCACCTACACTGGGAGTGGCACCTACACTGGGAGTGGCACCTACACTGGGAGTGGCACCTACACTGGGAGTGGCACCTACACTGGGAGTGGCACCTACACTGGAAGTGGCACCTACACTGGGAGTGGCACCTACACTGGGAGTGGCACCTACACTGGGAGTGGCACCTACACTGGGAGTGGCACCTACACTGGGAGTGGCACCTACACTGGGAGTGGCACCTACACTGGGAGTGGCACCTACACTGGAAGTGGCACCTACACTGGGAGTGGCACCTACACTGGGAGTGGCACCTACACTGGGAGTGGCACCTACACTGGGAGTGTCACCTACACTGGGAGTGGCACCTACACTGGGAGTGGCACCTACACTGGGAGTGGCACCTACACTGGGAGTGGCACCTACACTGGGAGTGGCACCTACACTGGGAGTGGCACCTACACTGGGAGTGCCTACACGGTGGCACCTACACTGGGAGTGGCACCTACACTGGGAGTGGCACCTACACTGGAGTGCACCTACACTGGAGTGGCACCTACACTGGGAGTGCACCTACACTGGGAGTGGCACCTACACTGGGATGGCACTACACTGGGATGGCACCTACACTGGAGTGGCACCACACTGGGAGTGGCACCTACATGAAAGTGGCACCTACACTGGGGGACAATGAGTGTGCACCTACATTGGGAGTGGCACCTACACTGGGAGTGGCACCTCACCTGGACAAAAATTAATTATTAAATATTTTCTAAGTTAGAACAAACATTCTTCAGCTTAAATAGAAATTAAGCGAACTTTTCATTGTGAGAAAGTCCATCATTTCCAAAAGTTTAAGCGATCAGAGAAGCATTACGCAGCTATTCTGGATCCACCTATTTTACGTTTATTAAATAGTTCGTAAATGAACTCTAAAGTAGTAATAAACAATGTCAATGGTGATAAATTCGAGAACCAAAAGTTGATGATAGACCATGTCAAATTGGTATCTTTATTGGAGGAAACGTCTCCCAACAGTGCTTCTCAGTCCTAAACGAAGAAGAATGGTGAAGATCAGAGGACTGGGGTAATCAGTCCCCAGTCTGAGTCATGTATCAGTCCTCAATCTTTCAAGATGATACTAGCTTCAAGATTGATGGACTAATTACCTCAAACTCCTTCTGATCTTCACCATTCTTCTTTGTTTAGGACTGATGAAGCCACTGCGTGACGAAACGTTTCCTCAATAAAGATACCCAAGCGCTACACATGTTTTTAATTCATAAATTGTCAATGAATAAACAGTAGAATGGACTGTCCCCCCCCCCCCCATCCTTCGTCCACCGTTCTGTTTATCCATGTTAGTAAAAGCTCAATAATAACCAACATGGAGATAGAAACTCAAGAGATTAAATGATCGGTATAATTCGACCCTCTTCTGGGATCCTCCAGCATCTGCTGAAGAGGATCCCACAATGGATGAAATATACAAATCAGTTAATATTCTGAGGTTGTGTTACCATGTGGGTTATTAATAAGTATTGACAAGTGTTCATTACGCTTTAGTTATTCACGTTAGTAAATTTGCAAGTTGCAGTCTACAAAACGTAAAATTATTGGGCACCATCCTGATCGTAAGATGCATCGGTTATTACATACTCAAACTGTTCTTAAGAGGCATATACTAGTTATTTTAAGTAAATAATGCTGAGGAATTTTTAAAATAAAACTGGCAACTTGCCACCAACACTACATAAACAATTCTAAGTTTCTTCTGAACAGGATATACCAGTGTTATATGTCTGAAGTAGTTCAGGGTCCGCAAGGAAACCAGAATCGGGAATGATATATATTCAACTGACCAGGGGGCGCCTGCACCAGTGTTAAAAATTTGAAGCTGATCTGATGAGGCGTTCTCTAGTTATGAACGAAAACCTCGGAGGATACCTAATTATAACAATACAAACAAAAGCAAAGTAAATATTACAGTATTTATCACATGCATAAATTATTCAAAGTTTATGTTCTTCAGTAATATGTATTGGCTCTTGTAGAGCAGACTTTCTCGGGAATTTACACCGTTCACTTAAATGCATAACGTAAAAGGGCATTTCTCACAATAACTGGCAAGGTCACTACACAAAGGGGAGATTTCCACTAAAAAAAAAAGTTAGATGAACAAGCCCAGAAAGAGAGGTGAAGGAGCCTTTATTGGGGTTATATGTTATAATACGCCAGAGGAAGCCAGCAACTAGACAACCTCCTCACCTTTGCGTATTTGAAAACAAGACCTGTAAATCCAAATTAACGTACAGTGCTGCTCCTGTAACTACACCATTGGAAACAAATATATCAGAGTATGATGTTCCACATGTCACGAACCTCCGAAACCGACAGACTGACCTCTGTGTCAAGTAATCTTAATTGAGTTGCCAGCAAATTATATCAGAAGGTTTATATCTTTTACATATTAAAGGTGTCTAGGCATTCTTTTAACAGTGCTCTGCATTTATAATTGAACTTTATGCTTATTATTTACCAATTTATATTAAACAAGATTATAATATACTTCATGGTAGTCTCTTAATGGCAGGACTTGACTGTCTGAAGGCTGAACTCGCTCCCTTTTCCTTGCCGCTCACGTATAAATACTGGGAACGCATCTTGAAAGCATCACAACTGTCGTCGATTCCGACCAGCAAACACGCGTCGGCTGCCATTTCTCCTCCGTACTGAAAGTGAAATTGCGTGACATAATCGCAACTTGGAGCGCAAAACAAGACATGGCTGGTGTGACTCCCAAAGTTCTGGTGCTGGGTAAGAGCCTACACAGCTGTCCTCTCAAAAGACCACGGACAGAAGACGTAGGCGACATTGTATACCTGCGATACTGTGTACTAGTGGCATCACCACAGTTCACTGTTGTGCCAGGTGACCCACGACCAACATGGACCTGACACTTGTGCCATAAGTATGCCACACTATATATTTGATAATTTCATTGTTCTGTACTGTAAAACTAAATTATGTTACTGAAAATACGGCTCCACATACGATGTCAGTGAAAAAAAATATATAAATGCAAAAGAGCACACATAAACACACACAAACACAAACACACACTCACACACACACACACACACACACACACACACACACACACACACACACACCACCACACACACACACACACACACACACACACACACACACACACACACCCACACCTGCGTAGCAGCAGGCTGAGACACTGCCATTGAGTATTCTAAAGGAAATCTAAGATGGACGAGACAGCCAGGTATGGTATACCACTACCGTTGCCGGTAAATAATTGTTTTACACCAAAAATACGACTAATTAACCTGCAACCCTTCGATTTCCTTTTAAAGACTTAATGGTATTAACTCTACTCAAAGACAACTCCTGCACTAAAATTAAGCTTGCTTAACTCATTTGCTTAAAGACGCAGTTCTTATTGTACATTTTTATTGCCTTGAGCTTTCCGTTTGTAAAGACGCCTTCATTATATATGGTGATACAAGACAAGCCACGTCCAGGATGAAGTCTCACCACTGAGATGTTTGTGTTTGTGGTAGACTCCAGTTGTGCCGAGTTAGACATATCTGGTAATAACGGATCATTCTTGATCAGGCTGTTTGCGGACACAATATTGACAGTGCTTTAAACTGCTTACATTATTAATTTCTATTGCTATTTTATTCATAAAAATCGCTAAACCCAAAGGCGTCGTACAAGGAGGTAAATCAGATTTGGTCCCAGAACAGGAAGGGTAGCTGAAATTCCTTGGATCAAGAGCCATTTACTAGCATCAAGGAACCAGTTTAAATGACGAGACGATTTAAGAGAAAATAAAAGGAACAGTTTTTACTATGTTACAGACTAGGAACATAACTCAGTAAGTAACAGTCACATAGAACACTACTTTGTACTGAAGATAAAAGTTACTAACATATTTCTCGCTTATCATTAACTATAACATAATATTTCTTTTTTATCCTTGCAAATTCTTATCTAATTTGATGTCACTGTGTTGGTGATTCCTGGATGTTCAGTGTTGATGGGTGTGGTCAGCGCCACCTACCTGGACGGGCCCAAGACTCCGTCTGCCAACCACCTGTCCTCCAGTGGTGGTGGTGGTGGTGGAGGATTTGCTGGTGGTAACGCTGGAGGAAACAGAGGAACCGGTGGAGGAGGCACTGGAGGATACAGCGGAGGAGGGGGAAGCGGAGGATTCGGTGGAGGGGGAAATGGAGGATTCGGCAGCCGTAGCACTGGAGGATACAGCGGAGGAGGAGGCACTGGAGGATTCGGTGGAGGGGGCAGTGGTGGAAATGGAGGATACGCCGGAACTGGAGGAGCCGGAGGTGGTGGAAGCGGATATAGCAGCGGTGGCAGCGGAGGTGGAAGTGGTGGATTTGGTGGCAGCGGAGGTCATGGTGGAAGCGGTGGATTTGGTGGCAGAGGAGCTGGAGGATTTGGTGGCAATGGAGGATATGCTGGAAGTAGTGGATCTGGTGGGAGCGGAAGTGGAGGCTTTGGTGGCAGTGGAGGACTTGGTGGAAGTGGAGGCTTTGGTGGCAGCGGAGGACTTGGTGGAAGTGGAGGTTTTGGTGGCAGCGGAGGTGGAAGTGGAGGATACAATGGAGGCTTTGGTGGTGGTGCCACCATTGCTGACTTAGCCACCGTCATTCCTGGAGGTGGTGTTCCCGGCAAAGACTACCCCATCCTGGCCTACGTCCCAAATACCGGCTTCTCCTGCAACGGTCAGCTTCCCGGCTACTACGCTGACACTGCCCCCGAGGCCGGCTGTCAGGTGAGTCTTCTACTGCCCAGAGGCCGGATGTCAGGTGAGTTTTCTACTGCCCGTGAATCTGGCTGTTAGATGAGTCTTCTACTGTCTTCGAGGCAGGCTGTCTCGTGAGTCTTCTACTGCCCCTGAGGCCGGCTGTGAAGTAAGTTCAAGCCCATCTTCAAAAGGACTCCAGTTACATATTGGTCATAATGCTGAGCCTATTTTTAACTCTCATTAAAATTTACTACGAGGTACTCGTAGTAGACTTTAGTCTATTATCTATATATCATTATTCTTACAATTTTCAGAGGCTGAAGCACTTACTACCACTCATGGATCCTATGTTCTACCATTCTATTTGTAAAGAAATATCTTTAATATCTTTTTTTGGCGCTTCCTGTTCTTCAATTTAAAAATTATAGCTTTATATTCTCTCTCACTTACTGGTTCTAAGGATTTTTTTTATGTGTTTTCTAGCAACCTTTAGTGATCTTGCATGTGACTGTTATAATTTTTTTCTGTTAACTATCCAGGCCAATTTTAGTGATTTCAATTTTGTTTGAAAACTCTTTGTCTTAGCGGTAACTAAGAGCTGTTTTGTAGCATCTTTGAATTCTTTCTATCCTCCCAATATTTTAATTTTTAAAATTTTAAAATGATGCTTCAGGTGCGAATTGCAATGGTGGCTTAGCGTATATATTGAACATATTTTTATTGACATCTGTATATATTTCATTGGGAACTCATCATAAGTTTTACGGAAATCTAAATTAATTCAGAGTTTCCATTCGTTTCTTTCGTGAATAACTCATATGACTAGAATAAACATACCACTGTACCATACATGTTTGTCTGAAGCATCACTTCACTTACGTAAATTGAGAAGCAAAACTTCCTAATAATTTATATATGTTTCTACTGAAAGTATAAACTTTATACGAGAACTATAGTCTAAATGTTTTCTTAACATTTTGTTTTTTTTTTAAATTGATTGATTCATTTATATAATTACCATTATAGCCTGACACAGAGTAGTAAATACCTAGTTTTGTCTAATATAATATGGCTCATTACAAAACATCGTGTTCAGTCTTATTTAAGTGAGAGACATTCTATCACAAGTCACATTCTCAGGTATTCCACATCTGTCAACAAGGTGGAAGAATCGACTCGTTCCTGTGTCCCAACGGTACCATCTTCAGCCAGCAGTACTTCGTGTGTGTCTGGTGGTTCAACTTCGACTGTTCCACTGCTCAACAGTTCTATGGCCTCAACGCTGAAATCGGAAAAATCAGTGGTAGTGGTAGCAGTTATACCGGTGGAAATATTAACGGCAATGGTTTTAGCGGCACTGGAGGAGGATTTGGTGGTCCTTCCGGTCAACAAGGATCGTTCTCAAGCACTCTAGGTGGAATTGGGAACGTTGGTGCTCCTTCACAGTCTTATGGACCACCCCCAATAGGTGGAAGTGGAAGCGTCACCGGTAGAGGTGGTAACGGAAACGCAGGCTTCAATAACGGTAACGGTGGCAGAGGCGGCGCTGTTGGCAACAGAAACCTTCAACCTCCCTCTGGTCTCTATCAAGTACCAGCAGCTGGAAAATAAGATCTTCCACGTATATTCGACGATTAAATAAAGATTTATCTACAAATAACAAATATAAATTAATATAGGTTTTAATAATGCTTCTAATAGCACTAGCTCTACTCCGGAGATGGAGGAAAACTTACTTAAGTTACTTCCCATCAGTTGGTGGCAACTTTGTTATACCTCTGACCTCCCATTCGTCCAGTAGGATAGTTCTTATTACTGTATGTAAATACTTGCCATTATTTTCTTTTCTCTGTCATACCAAATTCGGACTTATCAGCCTTATAGAAAGCTTATTGCAATAGAGTGCGGTCTTACTCTGGTGCCATACAACACAAATGAAAACCTCATTTATTATATTTTATATGTGCATTATAAATATAAACAAATAATAAATATTTTTATTATATTACACCCTGGCTGTATAGTGCGTGAACAATGATCTAGCAGACTAAAGCACTTCACCAGTTTTCCAGTATGTCGTGAACAATGGCTGTATTATTATATATTACGTTTAAGTGAGTCAATGGAGTGAGAACCTGATGCAATAACTACCCAAGTAACTACGCAAGTACTGAAGGCTTTACTTCATTCGCCCATATTACCTGGTTCCTGAAGAACATGGTGTGACTTAGTTCAAGTAACATGTGTTTTTATTATGCATCCTTTGTACACTTGTTAGCGTGCTGAAGACAGTCTTAAGTAGTCTAAATACACAGAATTAATTCTCTATCGTATATGTCATTGTCGGTAATGTTGCTGGTGAGACACTAATGCTACTGGTGAGGCACTAATGTTGCTGGTGAGGCACTAATGCTGCTGGTGAGGCACTAATGTTGCTGGTGAGGCACTAATGTTGCTGGTGAGGCACTAATGTTGCTGGTGAGGCACTAATGTTGCTGGTGAGGCACTAATGTTGCTGGTGAGGCACTAATGTGTGGTGAGCATAATGCTGGGTGAGGCACTAATGTTGCTGGTGACACACTAATGCTACTGGTGAGGCACTAATGTTGCTGGTGAGGCACTAATGTTGCTGGTGAGGCACTAATGTTGCTGGTGACACACTAATGCTACTGGTGAGGCACTAATGCTGCTGGTGAGACACTAATACTGCTGGTGAGGCACTAATGCTGCTGGTGAGGCACTAATGCTGCTGGTGAGACACTAATGCTGCTGGTGAGACACTAATGATGCTGGTGAGACACTAATGCTGCTGGTGAGACACTAATGTTGCTGGTGAGACACTAATGCTGCTGGTGAGACACTAATGCTGCTGGTGAGACACTAATGTTGCTGGTGAGGCACTAATGCTGCTGGTGAGACACTAATGTTGCTGGTGAGACACTAATGCTGCTGGTGAGACACTAATGTTGCTGGTGAGGCACTAATGCTGCTGGTGAGACACTAATGTTGCTGGTGAGACACTAATGCTGCTGGTGAGACACTAATGTTGCTGGTGAGGCACTAATGCTGCTGGTGAGACACTAATGTTGCTGGTGAGACACTAATGTTGCTGGTGAGGCACTAATGCTGCTGGTGAGGCACTAATGTTGCTGGTGAGACACTAATGCTGCTGGTGAGACACTAATGCTGCTGGTGAGACACTAATGTTGCTGGTGAGGCACTAATGCTGCTGGTGAGACACTAATGTTGCTGGTGAGACACTAATGTTGCTGGTGAGACACTAATGCTGCTGGTGAGACACTAATGCTGCTGGTGAGACACTAATGTTGCTGGTGAGGCACTAATGCTGCTGGTGAGACACTAATGCTGCTGGTGAGACACTAATATTGCTGGTGAGACACTAATGCTGCTGGTGAGGCACTAATGCTGCTGGTGAGACACTAATGCTGCTGGTGAGACACTAATGCTGCTGGTGAGACACTAATGTTGCTGGTGAGACACTAATGCTGCTGGTGAGGCACTAATGTTGCTGGTGAGACACTAATGCTGCTGGTGAGGCACTAATGCTGCTGGTGAGGCACTAATGTTGCTGGTGAGACACTAATGCTGCTGGTGAGACACTAATGTTGCTCGTGAGACACTAATGCTGCTGGTGAGGCACTAATGTTGCTGGTGAGACACTAATGCTGCTGGTGAGGCACTAATGCTGCTGGTGAGACACTAATGCTGCTGGTGAGGCACTAATGCTACTGGTGAGACACTAATGCTGCTGGTGAGACATTAATGCTGCTGGTGAGGCACTAATGCTGCTGGTGAGGCACTAGTGCTGCTGGTGAGACACTAATACTGCTGGTGAGGCACTAATGCTGCTGGTGAGGCACTAATGCTGCTGGTGAGGCACTAATGCTGCAGGTGAGGCACTAATGCCGCTGGTGAGGCACTAATGCTGCTGGTGAGACACTAATGCTGCTGATGAGACACTAATGCTACTTGTAAGACACTAATGCTGCTGGTTAGGCACTAATGCTGCTGGTGAGGCACTAATGCTGCTGGTGAGACACTAATGCTGCTGGTGAGACACTAATATTGCTGGTGAGACACTAATGCTGCTGGTGAGGCACTAATGCTGCTGGTGAGACACTAATGCTGCTGGTGAGGCACTAATATTGCTGGTGAGACACTAATGCTGCTGGTGAGGCACTAATGCTGCTGGTGAGGCACTAATGTTGCTGGTGAGACACTAATGCTGCTGGTGAGGCACTAATGCTGCTGGTGAGACACTAATGCTGCTGGTGAGGCACTAATGCTAATGGTGAGACACTAATGCTGCTGGTGAGACATTTGCTGCTGGTGAGGCACTAATACTGCTGGTGAGGCACTAGTGCTGCTGGTGAGACACTAATACTGCTGGTGAGGCACTAATGCTGCTGGTGAGACACTAATGCTGTTGGTGACACACTAATGCTGCTGATGAGGCACTAATGCTGCTGGTTAGACACTAATGCTGCTGGTGAGGCACTAATGTTGCTGGTGACACACTAATGATGCTGGTGAGGCACTAATGCTACTGGTGAGACACTAATGCTGCTGGTTAGGCACTAATGCTGCTTGTGAGGCACTAATGCTGCTGGTGAGACACTAATGCTGCTGGTGAGGCACTAATGCTGCTAGTGAGACACTAATCCTGCTGGTGAGGCACTAATGCTGCTGGTGAGACACTAATGCTATTGGTGACACTCTAATGCTTCTAGTGAGGCACTGATGCTGCTGGTGAGACACTAATGCTGCTGGTGAGGCACTAATGCTTCTGGTGAGACACTAATGCTGCTGGTGAGGCACTAATGTTGCTGGTGACACACTAATGATGCTGGTGAGGCACTAATGCTACTGGTGAGACGCTAATGCTGCTTGTAAGGCACTAATTCTGCTTGTGAGGCACTAATGCTGCTGGTGAGACACTAATCCTGCTGGTGAGGCACTAATGCTGCTGGTGAGACACTAATGCTGCTGGTGAGACACTAATGCTGCTGGTGAGACACTTATGCTATTGGTGACACTCAAATGCTTCTGGTGAGGCACTGATGCTGCTGGTGAGACACTAATGCTGCTGGTGAGGCACTAATGCTACTGGTGAGACACTAATGCTGTTGGTGACACACTAATGCTGCTGGTGAGGCACTAATGCTGCTGGTGAGAAACTAATGCTGCTGGTGAGGCACTAATGCTACTGGTGAGACACTAATGCTGTTGGTGGCACACTAATGCTGCTGGTGAAGCACTAATGCTGCTGGTGAGATACTAATGCTGCTGCTGAAGCACTAATGCTGCTGGTTAGACACTAATGCTGCTGGTGAGACACTAATGCTGCTGGTGACACACTAATGCTGCTGGTGACACACTAATGCTGCTGGTGACACATTAATGCTGCTGGTGACACATTAATGCTGCTGGTAACACATTAGTGCTGCTGGTCACACATTAATGCTGCTGGTAACACACTAATGCTGCTGATGACACACTAATGCCGTTGGTGACACATTAATGCTGCTGGTGACACACTAATGCTGCTGGTGACACACTAATGCTGTTGGTAACACACTAATGCTGCTGGTGACACATTAATGCTGCTGGTGACACGCTAATGCTGTTGGTGACACATTAATGCTGCTGGTAACACACTAATGCTGTTGGTGAGGCACTGATGCTGCTGGAGAAACACTAATGCTGCTGGTGAGGCACTAATGCTGCTGGTAAGACACTAGTGATGTTGGTGAGACACTAATGCTGCGGGAGAGGCACTAATGCTGCTGGTGAGACACTAATGCTGCTGGTGAGGCACTAATGCTGCTGGTAAGGCACTAATGCTGCTGGTGAGGCACTAATGCTGCTGGTGAGACACTAATGCTGCTGGTGAGACACTAATGCTGCTGGTGACACACTAATGCTGCTGCTGACACACTAATGCTGCTGGTGACACATTAATGCTGCTGGTGACACATTAATGCTGCTGGTGACACACTAAAGCTGCTGGTAACACACTAATGCTGCTGGTAACACATTAATGCTGCTGGTGACACACTAATGCTGCTGGTGACACACTAATGCTGCTGGTAACACACTAATGTTGCTGGTGACACATTAATGCTGCTTGTGACACACTAATGCTGCTGGTTACACACTAATGCTGCTGGTGACACACTTATGCTGCTGGTGACACATTAATGCTGCTTCTAACACACTAATGCTGCTTAAGACACACTAATGCTGCTGGTGACACACTAATGCTGCGGGTGACACACTAATGCTGCTGGTAGCACACTAATGCTGCTTGTGACACACTAATGCTGCTGGTGACACACTAATGCTGCTGGAGACACACTAATGCTGCTGGTGACACACTAATGCTGCTTGTGACACACTAATGCTGCTGGTGACACACTAATGCTGCTGGAGACACACTAATGCTGCTGGTGACACACTAATGCTGCTGGTGACACACTAATGCTGCTGGTGACACACTAATGCTGCTGGTGACACATTAATGCTGCTGGTGACACATTAATGCTGCTGGTAACACATTAATGCTGCTGGTCACACATTAATGCTGCTGGTAACACACTAATGCTGCTGGTGACACACTAATCCCGCTGGTGACACATTAATGCTGCTGGTGACACACTAATGCTGCTGGTGACACACTAATGCTGCTGGTGACACATTAATGCTGCTGGTGACACGCTAATGCTGCTGGTGACACATTAATGCTGCTGGTAACACACTAATGCTGCTGGTGAGGCACTGATGCTGCTGGAGAAACACTAATGCTGCTGGTGAGGCACTAATGCTGCTGGTAAGACACTAGTGATGTTGGTGAGACACTAATGCTGCGGGCGAGGCACTAATGCTGCTGGTGAGACAATAATTCTGCTGGTGAGGCACTAATGCTGCTGGTAAGGCACTAATGCTGCTGGTGAGG